GTTTACATCTTCCAAGAATTCTTCTCAACTTTAGACTGCTCTTGCGCGTGATGTAATTATCGTAGAAGGTTGATTTTTTTAAAGTTTTTGGCATTTTGCTACATTTGCAAAGTCCAACTCTGTGCCACGTGTGGCTCTAGTTTTTTTTTCGATTTTTACACACCTTCCTGAGCTTAGAGTAAAATAGTTGCAACATTCACGAACCTTGGATATAGGCGACGATGTTCATAAATATATTTTGGATCTTTTTTGCAAAACCGTTCAATGTGTGCAAGAATAGAAAATCGGCTCTAGAAGTCGTATTTTTCGGTAGATTTTCTTTGGGTTTGCATTTTTGGAATCTACTGGCAAAATCTGAAAGAATAGCACTTTAAAAATTTCAAAATTCGAAAATTTGTCGCAGATTGATCTGAAAAAAATTGAACAGTTTAAGAAAGTAAATAAAATGGTACAGTCAAATTTTCAACTTCACTTCCGGTATAAACAGGAAATCGATTTTCACTTCCGGTTGAATAACTGCTGGTGTAATTTGTAGAGGTCAAAAAATTTTATGCTGAGAGGTGGACAAAGTTATGACAAAAAAAACAAAGGAAAAAAAACCGGACCAGACGTGAAACTTTGACTGCCATTTTGAAGTGATTCGATTTTTATTCAGACATAACGGCTTATCCGATTTAAATGATTTTGGTGTCAAATGAAAGAAGATAAAAAAAAAAATTACATTAGGATTAGGAAGACGTTTTTCGATTCTCGATTTTGCTTTTTTGCAACTTCCGGTTGAATTTTTTCAAAGTTTAAAGGGGCATATCTCGTGATCTTGACCTTTGATGACCTTGATCTTTTAAGGTCAAAGGTCATTGACCTTAGCTATCAGTTAATACTTTGACATTTGACCTCCAACATGTACTCTTTCAAGTGATATATAACAATCGTTTTTAAACTAATTCTTTAAATTTGAGGTTTTTTTTTTACAATATTTCTGTCTCTTTGAGCTTGGTGTGTCTATGTTACAGTCAATCTGTGAAATCAGCCATTTCATGAAATGCCTTAATTTTTTAGCCATTTTCTGGAATGACCAATTCACTCAGCCATTTCATGAAATGGTTAAATATTTCAGGCTTTTCAGGAAGTGGCTGAAATTTCCTTGTTAAAGTTACAATGATTGGCTGGTGCAATTTCAGCCAATCTGTGTAATAATCTTTGGCTTTATAGGGACTTTGATAGTATAGTTTGTTTGATAAAATAATTGTTATAAATGATTTTAATTTTGTGATTATCAGTTCAAATACATCTTTAATCAATGTAAATGATTTTTGCACTTAATAATTTATTCTTATCTAAAAATATAATCCTTTTATTTAATGAAAGGTTAATTAATGCAGGATTACATGATTGTAGAATATGGGCTCAATCACTTATTATCCTAATCCTATATTGTGATAGGGTGTATTTTTAAAGAAACTTGGTTGTTTTATTTATTTGTTATCTTCTCTAAATACACCACAATTGTTTTTATAAACACCTAATTACATTATACTGGCCTTATACTATTAACTAACTATTGCCCTCTCTTAATCTCTTTAACTCAACTGATCTCACTGGACCTTGTCACCTTCTGTCATTGGCCACCTGAGTGAGTTTCATCACCTGTCCAGTCAGAAACTTTACTTTTACCTAAGTCTTTAAAGAAGAAGGAAGTATATTTCAACCTCCTTGAAATACTGAATACCTACTTCTTTATTCTTTTTCATCACCAGTTATTGTCCAATACAGCATTGGTACTATCATTAGAACAATTCATATTTAACTCGTTACTAACAAAGACATCAAAGTCAGTATCATTATTTTCAATCAGTGGATTTAACAAATCATTAAAATGTTTATACCAACTCTCAGAGACAATAGTGGGCTCAGGTTTTGGGCAGCCTGTTAGAAGTGATTTAGTTAGGGACCAAAATTTTACAGGGTTGTTTTCAGTGCTTGAACTACATAAGTCGTTTAATATGGATTCCTGATAGTTTTTTTTTCTTGACTTGACATTCACGTTTGAACATTGCCTTTGATTCTAAATAGTCTTTTAGTACTGTGTAGTTATTTGTTTCACGAAATCTATTTAGCAACATATTTTTGGATTTTTTTAGTTTGTCTGTTTCCCTGTCGAACCATTTTTTATTGTTAATATAACTAGGCCTAGTCTTAGTTTTCACATACATTCCCGCTTTGTTACCAATTTCTCTTAAGAGTTCATCTAACTTCTTAACGGCTGAAATTATATCTACCTCCTTATTAATCACTTCTATTTGATTGTGCAATTCCGGACTATTCACTAATGTTTTGAAGTTGTCACTTTTTTGTGTTTTCCACCTATACACAAAATTTGAGCAAAGGCTCACATTGTTTTGTTTCAGGTAAACACTACTGTTTACTCGAATTTTACAAGATATGGGTAGATGTTTAGAAATATCACACTTTAGCACTTCAAAGTCTGAAATTAACAAGCACAGGCGTGGGCTAGAAAGAATATAGTCGATAACACTGGCTCCATTTGCGCTAATGTAGGTAAATTCGCCCTTCATATCAGATGTTTTTCTTCCATTTAGAATTACAAGTTCGTTATCACAACATAAATCAATAATATATTTACCGAACTGATTAATGACGGTGTCCTTGTTATTACGTTGACCAACATCCACCTGCTGATAATGTTCGGTATAACAGGCATCAAGGCTTGGAATGTGTGTAGCATCATTCTCTTGAATAACATCAGGAATCGTACCAGTTCTACCATTCATATCACCCATAATCAAGATATCAATGTTACAATATTTACTCCAAATGTCACATATAGCTGATTCTATTAATGAAATAGAGCAGTTTGTATCCTTGTTTTCGTAGAAGATTGATCCGACGGGGGGAATATAGACACATCCAACAATGATATCATTGTCCAAACCTAAACGTTTAGTGTTTATCTTAATCCATATCATTTCTTCATATTTCGCTATATCTAAAATCCGAATAGTATATTCTCGAAGATAATCTTTAATCACTAACATGACACCACCAGAGGCTTTATCTGTAACACAAGTTCGCATCTGATCGAAGGTGAAGAACCCAGGAAAAATCCCTTCAAAGTTATCATTCGGTTTTTGGAAAGTTTCTATGAATCCAATTATATCATAATTGTTGATAACTGTCAGTAGATCCTGATGTTCGGAAAGTTTATATGAAAGCCCTTCAATATTCCATGATAAAAAATCTAGATTTCTAATATCTGTTTTTGTATCAGAATTATATTTACTTTCACTGTTGATTGTTGATTGCTAACGAGTAGACTTAATCTTAATTATCTCCTTTTTATCAAGGTCAAATGTAAACACATCTCTATTTACAAATAGTTTATCATACTTTAGTGACACAGAGTTGTTCTCGTTTCGTTTTGCTTCAATAAGACGGGGGATTAATCCTTTACGAATTAATCTAACTCGTTGGGTGAAATTTTCTGATACGCTACGTGACTCTGACCTTTTGAGTAGTTTTCGCGCCGAATTTAAAACGACGTCTCTTGATTTCAGTCTACTGAATACTACTTTCATAGGTCGAGGTCGCTCTGATACGTTTAATTTTTTGCCAATTCTGTGAACTCGTTCAATAGCGAGTATTTGGTCATCCATAGCACCTTCAATTTTAAATTCATTCTCTATAAAACATCTCACCAATTGCTCACAATCTCCCCATTTTTCATTAACATTTTCCTGCATTCCATAGAATATTAAATTGTTTTGCTTTATCAAATTTTCGGTACCATCAAATTTAGTCCTTATCGTGTCTATGTCTGTTTTCATATCTGTAACATCTTTCTTGAGTGCAATGACTTCCTCTTTAATAGATCTTATGTGTATTATTCTCCCCAGTGGAATGACATGGATCAAGTAACACAATCTTGGATTTGCAGGTAAAGTTAATGATTCATTGAAAAAATCAATACGATGTTTCAGCCTTGTCCAATATCGCAAATATCGTTAACGGGCTTCGAATTTTTAAAAACCAAAACGGCGGAGAGCCTTCGCAACAATAAGCATTGCATGCATAGCGTTGGCCATCTACTTTGTCAAATTTTGATCAGAAATAATGGACGTAAATTTCAATTTCAATTAAGTCATTTTTAAAACTCGATGTTTCGAGAATTTCGACTTGTGAAAGATATAATCAGAAAAATAATCGATTTGTTTGAGTTGTACTTTCGTATATGTCATGCAATGATGTCCTTATTGTATATAAAATTCTATAGCCTGTATGCAAAGTCAAATATAAAATCGAAATGGTTATTTGAAGTGATCAATCTATCAATATTGTATTGATATTGAGTTGGTAATATGACTATGGTCGATAGATATTTGCATATTAGTTGTAACACCTGCGTAATATGATTTTGCCTATTATACATATTGAAATACTTTTTGTTGTTGTTGCAGCAGCACATATAAGAAATAACCATAAAGAAACCTGTCATAAGAATATTTGAAAAAACAACTGAACGTTAAGCTCTGAGGTATTACTTTTTTTATATTACTTGGAAAAAATATTGAATATATATACAGAATTTAATTCTGAAATAGAATCTGAAAGGTAAATATCTGTTAAAATTGTATTCACCTCTATCGAAATGCATAAGGAAAGGGGGGAAAAAGAGGACAAGCCTATTGATCAAGGCCCATGGGATATGGACTCATACTCTCAGAAACGTAACAGTCAGTTCCGCTGCATTTGTCGGCAATGGGCGTACTCACATTTCACTTGTTCAATTGCATTCAAATCGGGACCGAGAGCAGACCAAGATATGATTGCTTCCTTAAGTGGCATTTAATAATTGGACAATAAGTAACTGGACACAATTATATGGAAAACAATTAATTTAATAAGACATCTTGCGACGTTTCGACGAAGGTTCTTCCGTCTTTATCAAGCAATGATACAAAATAGCAGACCAATTAGAATATATAGTAAAAAGTGGATTGGGTAACAAAGGGATTACGTTATCGCAAGATAATTCTTATCCATATAATTGTGTCCAGATAAGATATGATTGAAATGTTGTGCTGATGGAGGAAGTTCCCTGGTGACGCCGGAAGTGGAACCGTGCGTTGAGTTGCTGTAAGATGTTGTTTCGGTGATGGGTAATAAAGGAACAGTGTGGATCTGAAGACCGGGTTAACGTAGCAAATAGCTGTGATTTCATGACCAATATTCTTAGAAAATCTCCGGTTTTCCTTCCATAACACAAGCATCAGCGTAATGTAACGATACGATATAATCCATATCTAGCCGTTGCTTTTACGTCACACGTCACCATTGAATTTATCCAATCGAAATCTCGTAACATGTGGTGTAAAAGGATGGTGATTGCTAATGACGGCCTCCATTGAATTATCAGGAATGTTGCAGTTTCGCATCAATCCCCTTTTCGATAATTCATCGATGTAAAAGTTGACAGAAAGTTACTAACACGTTTTATTAATGAACACGAAAGATTTCAGAGCATTCTAACGCTTCCAACCATCTTTTTGTTTTGTCGGCGGTGACTAACAAATCACCCTAACCTTTGCAGACAAGAATCTTTCAGAGCATTCTAACGCTTCCGACCATCTTTAAACAATTTTCAAGGTGGGATTTTTCCGGTAATGGCGAAATGAAAGGGAACATAATTCGTACAGTCGAACTCGCTTTGTCAAATCAGTAATTCGTGTGTCAGTTCAAATAAATATAAATATTCTGATGAGGTGTAAAGTAAGGCGACTTTTGCTGCATGTTAATGTTCCAATCAATATGAAAAGTTGGATGAGAAAAAACAGCATATTTTGAAATACAAATTAGAGTGTTGGAAATGTGGGCTTGCTATAAATTCTTTTAACTCAGATGTAATCTATTATTGAACTTTTTCCAAACGATCTGAAGATAATACTGAAATTTGTAAGCCCTCTTTGCCGTTCCAAACGTCTAATAAAAGGCTGATCAAACGACTGAAACCTTTTCTTGAATGAACTCAATTGAAAAATTCATCCTGATCCACCAGTTCCTAAATATGAAGATAATAAGTGATAATGTAGTAGTAAACGTATACAATTTTTATTTTTATTATGAATTGATTTTAACAAAAGTTCTAAAAGTTATGTTCTAATTATTAAAACTATTCGGATTTGATAATAATTTCATCAGATAGATAAAACGGTATAACATGTTCAGTAAGGAATAATGTCTCAACTATAAAATTAATAAAGGTGTAAGCCAAGGCGACCAAATTACTTCAAATCTCTTTTTAACCTGGTAATAAAATCTTCTACTTTTAAATATCCGCTTTGATTAATCAATGATTAATTCCTAAAATCGGTAATCAGATTTACCGTCACCTAATTTAAAAGGTTGGCATATAGCTCATGTATCTAAATTAGGTGGTGTTATTACATCAAAAGGTCATTCAGGGACAAACTTGACGAGATGTGAGAGTCTGATGAAGAAGGCCTGGTAGAATTATCATTTTCACCTGAAAGACGGATATCTCCCACTCTCAGGCTGAGGTTTAACCGAACAGAGTGTCAGATGAGGAGACAGCAGGTGAATTCATATTAGAAGGAATGGTGCTACTAACTGTGATGGAAACAGAGGGACTGAGAAGGAATTTTCTGAGGTAACTGTTTTTGGGCTGTCTAGCTCATGTACTACATTACATGACTTCGCATGGCTTTACCTTCGCTAGTCTTTCATTATATTGTAATTGTGGTCTTGATGTAGAAGTTTTTTTACCTTCTTTTTTATACTTCTAGCGTCCCAGCTCCCGTATATATTAAGACTTTATAATTAACAACTATTTTATTCAATCTATTTAACTAGTTAGTTAAATACACATACGAGATGTACGATGGAAAATACTGGGACCCTATTATTCCACTCATATTTATACTCATTTGAGAAAACCACTTAATATTTTTAATGAAACAAGTGTTGAATTATCTTGGTGGTCAATCATATATATATAAAATATTGAATGACCACGATCAAAAGGAATTAATTCTATCCAATATGTTACAACCATTAAATTTACTTTTTTAATAGTTTTTTATCAGCATATTGAACTCTTGAACTTAGTCTAAATGAGTTCACACATGATAACAATTAATTTGTATTATTTCAATTTGATCATAATTTCTTAAGCTACTTAACCCCTTTTTATCAGAGCATTCTTTTACCGTGGAATTATTTAAAACTGAAAGCCCTCTCTAAACCATCTTCTTTTAAAGAAGTTATTAATCAACCTTGCATAAGAGCTCCTTTCACCCAAAACATACCTTTTCTGGTATAATTAAGTCACAAGTTATGCGATTTCATCGAATTTATACAAGATCTTCCGATTTCAACCAAGTCTGCACGATTGTTTTCTAAAAACTGAAAGAGCGTGAGTACTCTAAACGATTTTTACGAAACATAAAAAATTCCACCTTAGCACAGATAGCAGCTAAAAACAGACTTTAAGCCGAAGTACCTCCAGGTTTAAGGTGCTCCGTGTTTGTCAATTAGATGCAAAACATGTCCCTTTATATCAGAAACTCATTATTTTGCAAGCAACTCTACGAATAAAGGTCTTCCGATCCAGGAACATCTAACATGTGAACATTCGAATGTAATTCCGTTAATCTGGGGAAGCCCATTGGATTGAGACATTGAATATGGCAAGACCTATAGGACTAAATATTCATCATAATGTAGGCATAGCACCCTTTGTTGTCCTTTGTTCAATACAACCAGCAATCGATCAATAGTTGCATATTCAAAAAATAAATAACTTAAATGATAATATTGTTCATAGCAAACTAAAACAATCAGTACGTAACAGATACTATTATTTTTTCTAATTTCAGATCAGACTAAGAACAGAAGAAAACCCAATAATGTAGCGGAATCGCTACATGGCAGAGGAGTAACTTCTCAACTCAGCTGTGGGTAAAGTATGGTGTTGGGAATGACAACAAGTAATAAGTTTAATAACTTTATGTACACTTAAATACAAGCAGGTTACATGGAAAATCTGGTCGTACATTCAATTAAGCAGCTCCTAAATCTGTTGTGTCGAACTGCACGCGTGGTTTGGTTTATATAGCCAGTCATCGACTGATGATTGGTTGAGCACAACGTGCATTCATAACAACTACTGCACGTGTTTGGTCTCGTTCGGATACCAGTCTTCGTAAATCGGCGGAGATTGCCGATGTGAACTCGTAAACTTGTTGTACCAGTAACTGGATATTCAAGACTGTAAACAAGGGAGATCAACTCCCGTAACACTCTTCCCCTTCTTATATTTTGAGAGGGAAACTGTGGGTTTAAAAGTTAAGGATTAATAATCCAATTCATCGGGATTAAATTCAACTCCATATTCTGTAAAAACAAAAGTTAGCATCATCTTAAAATTAAAATTATCAATACTTGTGTTTTAACTACTTCATGAGATAATTGTCGAATCTCTTTGGCATTGTACTCTTTCTACCAGATCTAGTAGTGATCTCTCTGGGATCCATAATAGAAACCTTTAATGGTTCTGTGGTATGATTTTCTGAAGAAACTACCATAGCCTTTTCTCGATCGTCAATAGAAAGATTTTCTGAAGGAGCTTCCATAGCCTCTTCCCGGTCGCCAGATAGAGCCAGATAAAAATTTGTGTCTAAGCCGCTTTAACCAAATCGGGAAGGGATTATCGTTACAAAGTTTTAAATGGTCATGATGAATCATTTTACTAGTCTTTTAATTGGACAATTCATACAAGGGATGACAGGTCTTTGTGATTAAGAAAGGACCTTTCCATGGAGGCATAAGTGTCTTGCTATACACTATTCTTGTGGATGAATCCACTTGGTAAACAATGTCTCCAATATAGATTTTCATGAAGAGATATATCATAGTCCCTCTTTTGCCTAATCTGACACCCTTTCAAATGCGTACGAGCTAATTCATGTACCTCTTGTAAAGTTTGCCTGAGTTCCGATACCCATTCAGATGGAGCTAATAGAAGATCCAGTGGTTGAGAAACTTCGCGTTCAAGCATCATCATGTTTGGAGTAAAGTCAGTTTGATTTTCTACGGAATGTAATGCCATGGAAATAAGGGCGAGATTATCGTCCCACTCATGTCCATTTCCGTCTATATAACATCTAATCATTTGAAAAACAGTAATGTTATACCGTTCCACCTGACCGTTAGAGGAAGGATGATAAGGTGTCGTCTGGTTTTCGAAATTTCAAGTAAGGAGCAGAGTAACTTGAAGAGATTGCTCTCAAATTTAGCTCCTTGATCAGAGTGAATTTGAAGTGGAAAACCAAATGTGCTAATAAACCTCATCACCAAATTCTTTGCGACTTTGCAGATTGATCTGGTAAGGGAATAATCTCCAACCATTTCGTAAATTGATCTATGATCATTAGAACATATTTGTTTCCTTTATTAATAGTCATGAAAGGTCCAAGAATATCTAAGTGTAAACGTTCCATGGGATATCCAGAATGGTAACTTCTTAAAGATGCCTTTAGTTTGCGACATGCATTTTTATTTTGGTTACACAATGAACAATTCTTAACGTATAATTTGCAGTCATTAGACATTCTGTACCACCAATAATATTTACGAAGTCGACCGTAAGTTTGTTTCGACCAAAGTTACCTGCACACTTGGAGGAATGAGCATGATACAAGATCAGAGTTTTCAAAGCATCGGGCGTAATCAACCTCTTTGAGTTTGAACAAAATTTGTCTTCGTTAGTTATGTAAAGTATGCCATTGTCGAGAATTAACCTATTTCGATTCAACCAAAGATATTTTGTCGCTGGACTACACAAATACAAATCTCTAGGAATAATATCACTTTCTAACCAATCAATAATTAACTTAATGCATTTATCTGAGCACTGCTAATCCTTAAGTTTATCTGTAGTATAACTCTCCAGCCAGTTAGAGTTTTCGGATACTGTGGATAATTGCACAACATCAGCTTGGGAGCCGTTGCAAAGGGTTGAATGTGCGTCGTCTAACTTCGCTAGCCTAATTGGTGCATCGCTCATGATCTTAGTCGTTGCGAGAGGAACGACATCGTCAACGTCTTCCCAGAAACGCTCCCCAACCATACTGACGAAAACGTTTAAAGACCTCTTCTAGTTTTGTTAAACTATCTTCAAAAGATTTCCCTAAAATTACGATATCATCTAAATATACTAAAACATCGTGCCAAGTTAGACCTCGTAGAACTAAATTCATTGCTCTTTGAAAAGTTGCAGGTGCGTTCGTATAACCCGTATCTTGATATAAATGCGGTTTTATGGCGATCCGACGGTTCAATCTCATTTTGTTAATACCCAGAAGCCATGTCAAGGGTCGAATATAAAGATTTCCCCTGTAACGTTTGTAAGCAATCTTGGATATTTGGCAAAGGAAATCTATCTTTAACCGTTATATTATTCAAGGCTCTAAAATCGATGCACCATCGTAATGAACCGTCTTTCTTTCTGACTAAAACCGATGCACTTGAAAATGGGGATGAGGATGGCTGAATAATGCCTTCCTTGAGTAATTTTTGTAGGTGTTCATATTCCTGATCTTGGAAATGAACAGGTGTTCTGCGCATTTTCTGTTTAATAGGAGGGTTGCTTCCGGTTTGAATTGTATGAGTTATCTCAGAAAATCGTCCCAAGTCTAAATCATGTTGAGCGAAAGTGTCCTGGTACTTTTCAGTCATTGCTAAATTATCACCAGATTTAACAAACAAGTCTTTTAAATGAGCTGGAACAGTCATTGATGCGGTATCCACGTCAACAGTATTAATAGAAAAGCTGGGGCCTTTCGAGATCGTACCCAATCTACTTATGTCACTTCGAAAACTAGAATTTGACGAAAATGAATTAGAATTGGGTTATGGTATAGTTTTTCCGATTATCCTCTCAGCATTTCCTATATGATGTCGTTTTTTAATGTTTTGAATGAATCAGAGTCATTTATTATCCGAAAAATGGTATATCTGGACTTCCCTAGGGTTGAGGAAACCAGCAAACCCTTGTTATTACTAGGATTAGGTTCAGACACGAAATCTCCTTCGATTTGTCTCGAAAGTTCTGCTCGACATAAACCTACTGAATTTGGAGGTATTGTTACCCGTTTACTGACTAATACTTCAGATAAATCGTCTTTACTAGCGTATGATCGTAAATTAGCGTTGATTGTGTCGTTGCCGATTTGAACTGAAGGATGCTCTATATTTATTACACATTTATGATGCGCCAAAAAGTCTAAGCCTAAAATTATGTCATCGTCCATAGCGACCATATACACATCCCAGTCAAAATATTTGTTACCTATTTTAATTGACATACCTGAAACGCGTTGCGCATAAACAGGTTGGTCTCCTAATCCTGAAAGTTTAATAATTTCTTTAAAAATAAATCGCCCATTATACGTTTTACATATATTTTCGTTAGCCAATGTAAGCATAGCAGCAGTGTCGACACCTGCGCTAATTTTGGATTGATTTACGACCACAGGCAAAATTAAATTTAATTGTTTCGATAATCGTATCCTAGCATCTGGCGAAGTGTCATTAGACCTTGAACTACTTCTATGATTCGACTCATATCACGAATTGGAGACGAGTTATTATTTCTCTTTCCCCGTCTTCGAGATCGTCCGGAGTCAGACTGAGAATGTTCAGTTTCCGACTCTGACCTGTCACTGCGTCTTACTCTATAGTCCCTGTCAAAGTTACTGGAACGTCTATCGTTATAACGATGAGGAGGTTCACGATCCTGTTCTTGGCTATTATTATAACGTTCGTATCGCCTAGGTTGTTCTTGGTCTCGATACGGTCTATTATATCGATTGCCATTCGTCCAAGTACGACTATCGTATCGAGATCTGCCCAGAATATCTAGGGAAACTCTGCCTGGCCTCCCTGTATTCGCCGTTACTGCGATTGTATCTTGAATTATATCTGTCAGTAGGAATGTCAATTTTATGTTTGTCAACTTTCTCTTTGTATAACTCAGTCAGTTTGTCTACTATGGAATTTAGCTGTTTGTTAATCATTGCATCAATTTTTTCCAACTTACTGGATACAGCATCAACGTTAAGGTCACTGGTGTTAACTTTAACCGATTCGGTATCAGACTCAGATTTAAAATTCACCTGTCCATGCGAAAAGTTTTTGGATCCGAATAAACTTTTCTGATTGGCTAAAATGGTCTTGTGTGTTTCAATGCGTCCTGAACTGATTTTGGATTCTTTTCCATAGCTTTTTGCGCGGCGTCCTTCTCCTTACAATCACGGAGAAAGCATTCAATATCTATTTGGTTCCTAGTTTTACTGTTAGCGTCTGTATAACCGTCCATGGCCTAAGTTTGGACACGTTGAGCAAATTCTGGAAGAGATTCTGTTTCTAGTTGGCGTAGTGATTGTAACTCACGTCTAGCGGAAACAGTTTCTTCTTTTTCGCTAAATCGAAAATTCAGTTCTTTCTTGAATTCTCTATACGAGAGTTCAGAAGAGAGATTGTCTGCATATTTGAGAGCGGAATTCCTTAGACAGTCAAGTAGTCGGTCCAGTCTTTTCCTACTTGACCATTCTTGATGCCGTGCGATTCTTTTCAAATTGTAGTATATACGGTTCCCTCGGGTCACCGGAAAACGTTAGCATTTTAGGTTTCGGAGGACTGCGGCTACGATACCTTCGTCTGTTTCCCCGTCGTCTATGTAAATGATCAGACTCTGAATGCGAACTTGCATTAGATGTTAAATCTGAATTCGTGTCTCTGTCTGTATCATCCGTGTCCGTTTCAGTTGATTGGCCTTTCTTACGAGAAGCCAATTTGTCGTGAGTTTTTGTCGACTTAGTTTCATTGAGCATAGCTTGTTCGTAACGTTTTAGCTCTGTTTTTACAGCGGGCGTATCTTTCAAATTCCTAGGTATGATGTAGTCGGAGTCTTGTTTAGGTGTGGTCAGTCTATTAGTAGCTAATGTGGGCAAAACTGGCAAGTCTACCTAAGAATTTGACTTGTCCTCTATTAGATCCACTCGTCTTGCTATTTTGCAACAGTTGAAACATTTCGTCCATGCGTCTATCCGATTGCTGCATTACCTGAGGGATGTCTGGTGTCGTATTTAACGTTAATTTATCTAAGTCAGACAATGGGTCGGGGATTTCAAGTCCTATAATTTCACCTGTCTCTACCATTTCCCAGTGACTTAACTTCCCTAGGCTTAATATTTGATATAATGTTATGGGTATATCTTGACTTTCCCTAATTTGAACTATACGTTCAGCTATTTTATCTCCTACATAATATCTTATCTGTTTTAATTCTTCCACAGTTGCGGTCTGTATATTAATCGACTTCCCTACTCCGGCCATGTTTATGAAAAATCAATGAAAAACGTAAAGCAACTTCTCTGGACGGAAGAAATTCATATAATAATAAATAATGTCTTAAACAAGGCGCTTGTGAGCTCTATTTTCACTTTTTACGACAAAAAGAGCGTCGTATGTGAAATATAAAGTGCCGATATCCTATTGAGAAAAGTGATTAGCTTCTGTAAGAAGACCAGTGCAAGAAAAAAATGTGAAGTAATAAATCCCATACGAAAATCACTTTCGAGTCATAGTACTCAATTGAGGACCACGTGCATACCTAACCTACGTGTTAAACCATGATAGCTAAAAGCCTTCAAGGTGGAAACTTAATCGAGGTGTTGATACCGACTGAGTAACCGTCGAATGTATCAATAATGGAAATATGGCTTACAATTAAATCAGCTCAAAATTTTATTAATTTTCGTCTGTAATTTTGTAAAATAAATCTGAATAATTAGAACAAAATAAATCTGAATAATTAGTACAAAATAAATCTAACACAATACAATTATCCCACTTCTGACACCAAATGTAGCGGAATCGCTACATGGCAGAGGAGAAACTACTCAACTCTGCTGTGGGTAAAGTATGGTGTTGGGAATGACAACAAGTAATATGTTAAACTTTATGTACACTTAAATACAAGCAGGTTACATGGAAAATCTGGTCGTACATTCAATTAAGCAGCTCCTAAATCTGTTGTGTCGAACTGCACGCGTGGTTTGGTTTATATAGCCAGTCATCGGCTGATGATTGGTTGAGCACACACGTGTATTCTCGTTCGGATACCAGTCTTCGTAAATCGGAGGAGATTGCCGATGTGAACTCGTGAACTTTACATCAAAAGGTCATTCAGGGACAAACTTGATGAGATGTGAGAGTCTGATGAAGAGAGCCTGGTAGAATTATCATTTTCACCTGAAAGACGGATATCTCCCACTCTCAGACCATCTCTCTCACCATGACAGTGATTTTGGCTTGGTTTACATTCACCATCCAATTCTAAATAAGACGATGACTGCAAACCAGCAGACGGTGTTTGATAAAGGGCATCTGAGGATAAACTGAACAGAGTGTGAGATGAGGAGACAGCAGGTGAATTCATATTAGAAGTATTTGTGCTACTAAATGTGATGGAAACAGAGGGACTGAGAAGGAATTTTATGAGGTAACTGTTTTTGGGCTGTCTAGCTCATGTACTACTTTACATGACTTCGCTTGGCTTTACCTTCGCTAGTCTTTCATTGTATTGTTATTGTGGTCTTGGTGTAGAAGTTTTTTTTACGTGAAACATTTTTTATAATTTAGCTACCTAACCTCTTTTTATCAGAGCATTGGCGTGGAATTATTTAAAACTGAAAGCCCTCTCTAAACCATCTTCCTTTAAAGAAGTTATCAATCAAACTTTATTTCATAACCCATATATACTAGATTAGAACGTGAACAGATACAGTCGCAATAGTCAAGAGCTGTGGGATTCATTGAGCCGTGAAATAATACAAGGCCAAACAGTGATCACTGGAACTGTGATACTCCTGTGACTTTCTGTGTGCTCCTTATATTTTGGATTACAAATACATTTGAGGTTATATATATTTTATATAGTTAAATGTCAAACGACGAACCAAAAGAAACAGAGACAGTCACGGTGATACACCGAAACCAGACAATAAAACCAGCAAAATGTCTCAAGATGGCGCAATTACAAATGCTCAAAAGGGGTCTTTTGAATATGTCGCCGAAAAAATAGATGATCTTATGCATGGGCTATCAGAAGTAAACAAAACCAAGAAAATATGAGTAAATAAAATAGA